TTGTTTTCACCTCCTTTTTAGGTTCATCCAATTTTTCCAACATGGGTATCAAAGCAGTTATGGCAGGAATCTGCCTTCAAATCTAATAGCCGGTGCAGTTGATGAGTGAAAATACAAAAAACTTTTGTTGGGTTTTCTTTTCGATGATGATTTTTCATCAAGCTTTAATCCTTTAGGGGGCAATTTCTTATATATAGTTTTGAAAATTAGATGGTTCCAGTTTTTGAAATTTCCTTTCTCTTTGATATATACTAATTTATATTATACATCTTCTCTTTCAAAATATGAAAATATTCTTCCCCACTGAACAATTTTATCTATTGGAAATGTTGCTCTTTCCCATTTAATTTTTCCTATGGTGGTATCGTAAAAATCTTCCTCCTTAAGAGAAATGTCTAATTTCAAATCTCGAAATGAATAGTGATTTTCTCCTTTGTGAGTAACCATAGAAATAGTAAATATATTTGTTTGACTTTCAACATATCCGTCTTCTGTATAATAAATTCAGTGCCAAGCATATAAACTGTCATTTCAGGAAAATAATTACTTTTACCACCAAGCTTTGCTACGAGAAGAGAGAAGAGAAAGAAACAGGGAGCCAAAAGATTGAACCTATGGGCTTTGATACCAGAATGAGGGATAAGTATTTTCAAAAAGAGGGAGAGGGGTTCACAAGTCCTTGAAAGGCTTTAGTACAGACTTTAGAGAGAGGGAGCAAAGAAACAAAAAGTAATATGAGATAGAAAAAGGAGAGAACGAAGGATTGGATAATCCGTAATTGACACAACGGAAGAGAAAAAAAAAACTTTATAATATTAGAATTGAGTTTAAAGAAGAAGATAAAATAACAGAGATATATTTGAAGAATTTATGATTTCTCAGACGAATTACTTGAGGGAGAGAGATGAGTTAATAAGATAGAGAAGAGAAACTCATTCGTACTTATTTTTTCTTTTCCATATTTTTTTCTTCTATCTGAGGGGATTACCTGTTGATTTTTGTACAATAGGGGAGGTAGAAAGAAATTAGATGGGAAGATAGATGAAGGAGGGTGAGTATTGTGCTCAACCACCAACAGTCCATTGAGATATCCTTTTAAGGGCTATGACTTGCTGACCCTCTCAGTCTGATCAGGTACCAGAACATTTAAAAACACCTGATAGTGTCCCTAATTGGAATTACACTTAGTTAAATAGAGCTTCGATATCTTGAGTTTCGTTCGGTAACGGGGTTGGATGAGTTCATCAAAGAACTATTAGTGCGCAGTATAATCTACTGGGTTTGGTTATCAATTTTTTTGCACATTGCAAACAACTTCACTTTGGCTTCATTCAATGAATGCAAATTCGACCGCCTTGCCACCTAAGCGGCCTTTTTTCAAAAATGCCTAGTTGTGGGCAAGGCGGCATTCTCTAGGTAGGTGTATCTAGGCACCTGCCTAGGTGGCATAAAAGGTTGGCGCCTAGGTGTCGCCTCTCCTAGTGGTGGAAAATATCATGTAGGCAATGTCTAAAATCGTCATTTACCCCTTTAAAAATAAGAAAAAAGGGCTTTGGGGGCCACTGTTGTCCCCAAAAACATTTTAAGTAATGTTTAGAGTGAGAAACAACTTGAAATAAAACAAAATTTAAAGATTTATAGAGAGATCAAAAAAAAAATTTACCTCCTTCAATGGTCACGAAATTAAATGATATTCATCCTTAATCTTTTTGAGACTTATAGTGGTTGTAAAAGAGGAGATTCGGGAATCCAAACATTTCGGTTTGCCCCGATATCGAATCAACTTCAAGAAGGTCGGTATATGTCAATAGTGTTTATTAGGCTATGTATTTCTTTTCCACAATGTCTAATGATGTTATTCTTTGCTATTTGTATTATTTTGTGATACTTTGCGATATGTATTTGATATGTTATTGTTTATTCATATATTATTTTCCCATTTTGATATGTAATTTGGGTATTTGGAAAAACAATTTAATAAAAAAGTTCATTGCCCCCAAACCGAATGAATATTAATTTTTTCTTTTTTTTTAGTTTTATACATGAATTTACTTGTATGATTCATAAACCATAACATTTCTCCCCATAAATTTTTTTATTAGTTAGTTTAACAATTGCTCAATGCCTATTGAATAATTACATGTGTAATATGTTTTTTCGATTTTGTGTTATATCATTGTAATTTTGTTGCGCATGTTTTACCAAGATTTATTTTTTGGCTTAATAAAAACTCAATATATTAAAGGGTCAATGTAACTATTATTTTTACTTCAATTTTCTATTTGTAATTTTTTTAGATGACCATTTTCTAATTTTTCTTTTTTTTGGATGACTAATTTGAAGTTTCAAATATTTAAGCCAGTAGTTGTATATTAATCTTGCTTTATTCCGTATGTACAATTTTCATTTCGTGTAAATATTTTCAGTTCTTGTAAATATTTTCAAGTTTGACTTTATGCTTTTGTGCAATTTTCAGGCTTAGGTGATAAATTGATACTTGATAGATAAAGGTTGTATGTGAAATGCCTTCTTCAGCTTCAAGTAAACAAAGTAATCCAGGATGGAAATATGGATATTATCCCAACCCTAATGATAAGAATAAAGTAGCTTGCAAGTTTTACAAAAACAAGTACAATTTTGACATAATAAATTAAAAAAACATTTGGCTATCATAAGAGGAGATGTAGCACCATGTACTCAAGTCCCCGCAGAGATCAAGAAATAGATACTAGATAATATAGAAGGGGCCTAAAAGAAGAAAGAACAAATCCAAAAGGGATATCCAGACATGAGGACCTCTAGAAACATCCATCGCATATACCTGAAGATGATGAATATGAAGAGGAAGGAGCCTTTATAAGTAGATCAAGCACCATTGAGCATAAGAGACCTCGGACAATAGGGCCTCTTGATATATTCTTTTCGCATCTGAATCTCGATGTGATGGTTCCCAAGAAGGAACTAGTACTGAGTACTTTAGAGAATCATTTGAAGAAGTAGAATAAAGAAAGGGTGAATCAGTATTTGAAGAAGCGAGATAGAGAAAGATATATCCATGTAAGTTGAAGATGTATTTGTAATTTCAGTTTAACTTGACTCTACTTTTATAAAAATTTAAATTTACATAGATATATGTACTCTACTTATTTTTATTGTTAAATGTTATTATAGCCTCTTGGTAGGCCAACCATGGGAAAACTTCCCCCAACTTGCAAATGATAGCACAACGAAAATTGAACTTGTACATCGTCCGACTGCAAGCGCAAGTTCATCACCTTCGAGATGTGAATATTTTATTTACCCTTTTCTCCTATCAAGGTATGACTAACTTATCTATACATTTTTTTTTCAAGTAAAAAATTGTAACATGGAAATGGTATACTATGAAACGGGCATATTAAAATAACAGAAAGAGACTCAAGCGGAAGAGACTAAATGACCTTGTTTTCGTTTAATACAATCAAAGGCTGAAGGAGAGCCATCTAGACCGGTTTCAAATTGAAGACCCTATACTTATGAAAGATTTAGATCCAACAAGCGAGTGATTGATCGAGCCTGATGCCGAGGATGAGCCTATATTCGAGGGGGAGATCTTGACATGGACCTAAGTGCGAGAGGTGATTTGTTTGACATTGAGCCCTAATTACTAGATCCTAAATGTAGAGAAAGGGAAAAGAAGTGGCTTAGGAAAAGGGAAAAGGGAGTGGGAGGAAGAAGAAGGGGAAGAAGAACACGCAAGCAAAAAAGAGGATGATGATCTTGGAGGAAGAGGAGGATGCAGACTCAAAGGAGACATGAGAATAAAGTTTTTATGTGGAGGGGAGGATGACTTTGATGATGATAGCTTGGCATCATCTTCAGATTAAAGTGGACTGCATGTCGGACGTCGACCTCATGTTGCTAGTGATGATGAAACTCAACCTCATAATTGAGTCAATCGTATTTGTGGGGTGTACCTTTAATGGTCGAATGTGATTTTTTTTTAATGACTTTTGAGTATTTGTTGTGATTTGTGATTTGCGAGATTTAAAGGATATCTCGAGTTGGTTTTATCTTTTAAAGTTGCATTTGAATTTTAATTATTTCATTTACAGTCTAAAGTCGTAAATGTTTATGTTTGATATGTACTTTTGACTTCTTAACAATATATTATATACAAAACTTATTTATTAAATAGAAAAAAACAATCTATATGCAATAAAATAGGGGGAGGTGTGGGGTGTCTAACTTTTTTAAAAAAGTCAACACATGCTGTCTTTGTGTTTGGACACCTACCTAAGTGGCCCAGACCCCAAGTCGCCTAGGGGACTGCATCCTGTTTTTGAACATTGGCTTTATTTAGTAAAAGAGAGTATATATTTATACCCAAACAAATGCAAAGAGTAGCCCATAATACTTAGAGCCTAGGTGGCCCAGACCCCAAGTCGCCTAGGGGACTGCATCCTGTTTTTGAACATTGGCTTTATTTAGTAAAAGAGAGTATATATTTATAACCAAACAAAGGCAAAGAGTAGCCCATAATACCACATAATAGTTTACAAAACAACGGGCTAAAACCATGGGAAAGGAATATCACCATTTAAAAATAAATGCATACAGTACATCCATTCATCATTCATTATTGCTTCTACTCAAAAAGTAAAGTAAAAGTACACAATACATCCATGTCCAAAAAGCAAAACTACTTGTGAAAAGTAAAACCACTAGAAAGAAAACCATGAGTTGCTTGTCCATGGAGACAAACAAATTGTGGAATGTCTACACTGATTATTGTGCTTCATCTTCATAACTTAAGATGTTGTTGTATTCTTCTCGATGTAACAAGCAAAAGTATTATTTGATTCGGCAATTGTAGCATTTTTTTAACATTTTTATAGAAGAGGTCTTTATAACTACATTGTTTTGGGTGGATTTATGATGGATGCTTCATGGTTGTAGATCAATTCATCTTTATATCTTTGGATAAATCGTGGCTCAATAAAATTACTCATTTGGAGATATTTGCATCAAACCTTTTCCCAATTTGTATAACTTAATAACTTTGTCATGAAATACCTGACAATGTTGTTAGGATATAATTAAAAATTATGAAATCATCCAAAACTTCCTTTTGAATATGCCTGGCAATTATTTCAGGTCCAAGGATGTTCATCTGAAATTGTTTATGACTATACGAATTCTTTAAGCAAAAGTAAGGAAACAATTTATGTTAGGATATGAACCTACTGCTAAATCAATATTCTCATGTTCAAGAGAGAGCAAAAACTCCTTATCTTTTGACATAATTTCTGTCTTTTTTTGGGGGTTTCTAGAGGCCAGGTTTAGCCGCTCATCCTTGTCAATTGTTCTTGTCATCTGCATTTCTCTTGTGAGGGCATTTGGAAGATGATGTTCTATTCTTGGAATAATCTCGTTTCAATCCATTTTACAGTGTCTTGAACTACTTAAGCAGTGAATGCCACTGTTAGTGTATGTGTGAAACACCGAGTTCTTTCACCTCATCATGTTTTGCTGCACAACACATGCCCCCCACGCTCTGTGCTTCCCCCGCTCTATCATCGACCACAACACGTGCAAAACCTCGAGAGCTGCCACTTCCTCAGACAACTCCACACTCTCGTGCACAAGGGGCATACCAAGTGGACTCCACTGCCCAATCCTCGAGCCCCTCCGTTTCCCCATCACCCACTCTTGCTTATACGCTAGCACATTGAGAACCTCCCCTTGAACATCAATATGTATCACCCTCTCAAGTGCCATCTCCAAATTTATGGTCCATTCTGCATCATGAACCCCAACATGATGATCCCCCAATTCCATAGCTGCAAGGGTTGCACATTTCACGGTGAGTAGAACCCTCTCTGTGACTACCACAAAACCACCAGCTTGCTTTAATGCTTTGCAAGTGACAAAGGTCTCGTTTCTTAGCCTAGACTCATCGGCCTCGAGGAGCATTGATATGCCTACGGCTTCTTCCCATGAGTAAGGGAGGAGAGGGAGGTCAAAAGCCAAGGGGCGGGGGAAGCGGACCCGGAAACGGCTCAGTTTCTGGGGCTGGGTGCGGTTCCTGATGCTCTGCGCAGTCCTCCCAGCAACCTCGAGGATGCTAACCACAGGCCTTGCCACAAACCCAGCTGTCCCGGCAGCAACCCCTGCATATAAAAGCGAGTATGAATTTCATTAATATCTCCGACTTTCTTGAAAGAGGATATTGTGATCTTATGGGCCAAGGAAAACCATTTATGCTAGTTGGGACATGTCAGATTGATGAATGGATTGTCATGGGGTAAAGGACCTGAGAGAATGTGCATGAAGCCTAATGTGGGTCCTACTCTCTCCCCATCACCATCCCACCCTAATGAAGGGAGGGTTATGATCCAACGCACTATGGTTTTTCCATTGTACGTGATATTGCAGTGAACATCTCTTATTGAAAATCTTGTGATACTTCGAGACAAATCTGAATGAATATATATTGTACGAGCTAAATAAAAATCAGGAGAAGGTCAAAGTTGAGGCAACTTGGAAACAGTAACCAAATTAGGGTTGAAGGTCGAGATCAACCTATTCATATAAGAGCTTGTCATTCGACACACTCCTTTTTCAAGAAACAATATCTCATCGAAATCTTTCATGATATTTTGAAACTCACTTTCGATGTATTTCACATTGTTCTTTTTGCAATATTTGGAGAGTTTGAGCTGTTTAATTTGTTTTAAGAAACATGCCCTTCTACAAAAACATTCACAAAATTTTTCAGGAAAATACTTTATTATACAAACATCACAACAAATCTCCCCAAGTAATTTTCCAGATAAAATTTCTGTCCATGAATCTATAGTATATTGAAAAGCAAACCATAGTATGGAGGGGTACATGGGTCCTTTTATTCCTGCATCTCCAATTGTCTCCCCAAGTAAATTTCCAGATAAAATTTCTGTCCATGAATCTATAGTACATTGAACAGAAAATGTAGTATTGACGGGGACATGGGTCCCTTTAATCCTGCATGGAGATGCCCATCCAATCAAAGCTATCCATCCAAATAAAAATGTTAGGAGAAGTCAGGTGCTACATGCGAAAGGGCTCCTAAAGGATTGCTGAAAGGTATAATCCATGTACATCAGAGGCAGGAATCAAGAATTTTCAGTTTAAGCAACAGATAAGCAAGCCTGTGATTCTTGAAAATGAGAGTTACCTGAGAGGATTCCTGGTAGCCCATGCTTTTCTGCACCTCGAATTGGAGACTGAAGGAGACCAGTAAGACCCTGAGAACATAAAAGAAATAGTGATTACTTTCAAATGCGAAAATAACACAAAGGGGAATAACACATTTGTCAGATAATGCGGCAAACCTCCAAAAATTCATTTAAGACTCCTTTGCTGTGTGAACCTTGATGTTTACGTCGCTTTTCCATTTCTGCAACAGCTTGTTCATCAAATGCAAAAGCAACAACCCCCTGCATACAGACGTAGTAATTCAATCAGATTGGACATATTAGCAAGCTGGTTCATCTCAACAACATTTTCAGTATGTTCTTACCATACGAGCAGCTTTACTGAACAGTGTTGCAGCATTGCTCATTGCATAGACGGTGTTGATAAAAAGACTTTTAGTTCCATGTACCATTCCCACAACTAATTCAGTAGGGCTCTGGAGAAAATAATTTTCATTTTAAAAGATACAATGACTCGTTATCCGCTTAACAAAGTAGAGATATGAATAATTCACATTTTGCCAGGACATACCTGAAGAACACCTCTAGCAGGTACTAAAACAAAATCTTTGATGCCGAGCCCGACATTTCTTATAAAGCCTATAGGATTTCCTATCACACCAGCAGAACCAAATACCTGCAAATTAAAGAAGTAAAATATATCACAAAGTTGCATCATTGATTCAATATTTGTATTATATTTTGTCTGTGGTCTATATTATGACAAAGTTATTGATTCATATTATATGAGGAAGCAGAAGTAATTGTGGTTCTCTTTTTGCATTGGCTTCATGTTAATGCTTCTTTTTTCTCATATCTTTAGTACAGTTCAGGAGCATGAATTGATGAGACAACGGATTATAACTTCCAACATCCAAACTAGAAAAGCCAGATAAGCATTCCAACTCGTAGTACACAAATACACCTAGAGCTTATCTACTTCATCGTCAAGGAAAACATTGGATCTGCTGTTTATTGACGAAAGATAAATGGCTGCCCATAAATTTGGCATGACAAGAATTACAATAATCATTGCCTATTTGTCATATCTTTTCATGATTTATTTCGATCTGTAGGTGTATCTCAATGTAGGAGTTCAATATGTTCTTGTACAAAACAGTTTGTAAACAAACCAAAACGTAGTCATTGGCTATGATATTTCAACTTTCGTTTTCACAAAAGTCTTCATATTAACCAACTCTTATTCTCAATCCCTAAAGATAACCTTGACTGGCAGGAACTTGGGCAAATTAAGGGTTACCTTGTACATTTCTTGGAGGAGCTGTCGAGTATAATGCCTAATGAGGATCTCTTGCATGGATTCCATGCTAGCCAAATGGTGTGCCATAGTAATTTGTTTCAAATAAACTGGCGCGCCATCGACATCCACAAGAGCCATTAACCACCTCTGCCACAACGTAATTTTATCATAATAAAATATCATGAACATAACGCGTGTAAGTTCAAGATACTAGAAACACAATAGGAAGAACAATTGCATGCTCAGTAAAGGACTAGATAACTTCTCACCAATGTTCTGTGTGATAAATAATGATTTAACTGTATGGTTCTTCTAAGAAGTGTTAAGTGCCAAAAAGGAATTTATTTTCAATTAGAAAGATATTGCTGAGAATGGAAGGTAGAACTTCAGAGCAAACCACCAGTGACTTATTCTCTGTCATTATAAAAATGGTATTCACAATGTGATCACAGAAATATCAGCATCCGACTAAAAAAGATGTAGATTACAAGCAATAAATAACAAAATTTGTCCCAAATTTCCTAATTGTTTGGTTATAATACAATTTGATTAAAGGGTGTGGTTTGTAGACTTTGTATAAGGCTGAGGTCTTAAATGATCAAAGTAAGGTGCACCTTCACATAGTGTTGAAAGGTGTCGTTTCAGTATCGAAAATCTTTGTGACGGCCGGAAAATTTATTTTAATATCTAATAAAAAAATTTAAAGCTTCAAAGAACAGTAAGAGCAAGCAGATCTAAGAATCATGAAAATTGACGGTCTCGATAATTTTTTTAAGTCCATGTATCTCAAGGGCGAGATAATCTGATTTGAGGGTTTTTCGGTAGTGAAACAACTTTTTCTAGTGAATTTTTGAGGTGCGCCTTAGTTTGATTGTTTAGGGCCGCAACCTTATATAAACGTTTTCATTGATTAAATGACACTCTAGGAGCAATGTAAATAATATAATATGGCTACTCATACAGAAGGTGTACTAGCATGTTTCTCTTTCACAACCCATCAGAATTTGATTCCCACCTGAAAAACACTGCCACCAGCATTAATCATTGACTCTGCAGAGACATGACTCTCATCTTTTGCAATCCATGGAGTGCTAGAAAAGCTGCCAAGGTTAAAGGGGCATAAATGAACATTATTGCTATTAATTCGTCAACAGTTAGCTAGTGAACGGATTCAACTGAAACTAAAGCTTAGTCAATGTATATGTGTACTTTCCATGGGAAATTTATAACTAGAAACAAATATCATTTTTCATACATAATTTTCACAAAACGAAAGACCAATAGAGAGAAATGTACCTCACGGTCAACATAATAGGAGCTACATGAAATAGTTCAATATACAGCTTTTTCTGCCTTCTGGCTAGGAGGAAAATCTGCTGTCCAGGAGCTCCTATGGGAACTACAGGAGCAAGTGATGACTTGATAGTGCGACACTCCATAAATTTATGTATCTTCAAGAAATGGAGATGGCCTGACTTTTGATTCTTCACAAACTCGTAATTTTGGAAATGTGCAAATTTTTTTTTGCTATTGTTTGTCCCATTGCCCATTGTCAGCAGTTCAAATTTTGGTTCTTGAAAGCTTCTGGACTGAATCCTGAGAGTCATAGCTCTGAAAAGGTCTAACAAGTTAAAAAGCACTTGTTCTTCAAGCTCAACATGCATCGGTGCTAATCTGCAAGTACATGAGGTTTAGTGCTCTTCAGATCATTTAAAAGAAATTTTTTTGTCAGAAAACTGAAGATATTTTTTTGGGTAGAAAATGTAACGAGATCATTTCTAAATAACACCTCAAACTTTAAGTGAGTCAAAACCTTAAATTTATGTATTCAAAGGAGACCAATGACAAGTCCTTGTTCCTCCACTTTGCAACAGCCAGATCAAACACAGCTTCTGGAGAACTATCAAAAGCACCAGAGGGTGTTCTCTCATTTCCATTACAATTTTTTTTATTTTTCACTTGCAAGGCCAACATTCCTCGCAAATCATGGTCAAAAGACAAAATAACAGGATATGGGGTATTGCGCAGTTGGTTATCAATTTGCAGTAATGATATTTGAAACGAAAGCTCTTGACGATCCAAACTCTGCAGTATGTCAATCTTGATGTCCTTTGCACAAGCAAAAAGTAATTCCTGCAATAAAAAATAAAGATTGCCCAAGGGATTGAGCAATAAGAATTTCATATTGCCAATGATTTAAATATTGAATAAACACATACAGTTTGGCTGTAATCCTATCATTTCATTTGCTTTCTTTCCCAGATATTTAAGCATGTGTGTGCACATGTGAGTATGTCCCATAGCATTTTCATCCATTTTCTTTTTAATTTGTCTTATGTCTGTGTATGCACACCAAGCATGCGTGAATGAACAGAAAGCACAACTGATACTAATATGATAACTGGAACCAGAAAGATAAGGCACACGAAATAAACTTCATACTTTATGCTAGAGCTCTTGGTTTTTTTAATGTTTTCGTTTGCAATAAAAATATCACAATCAGAAATGTATAAGACGTTCTTATTCACCTGTGGAGCAGAATCTATAACAGAAATACCAATGAAAGGCAAACGAATAGATATCTTCTCGTTGAAATAAACAGCGTTTTCTTGCTTTGGGCTAATTTTCCTCCTTTCTCGAAGGCCATAAAATCCGCTTTCCCTCACATCTTCCATAAAGTGAAGATTTGAATTGATAATGCTGAAAACCTGCAATGCATCAAACAAGAACCAGTTGTTACTGTAAGATGAAGAACAGAGACGAACAATGCATTAGTGATACAGCCAGAAACTAGGGCTCCACCTTGACTGCTCCTTCAGCATGGACAGAGAGAAAGAATCTCCTTTCAGGTTTCTGCAAGTGAAAGAGCATATACAGTCAGAATGGTATACCTTGATCATATGTGCCAATTGATGGGCTATTTGAAAACTGATCAAAAGAATGATGGTATTGAAATTAGATAAAAAGATATGGTGACACACAAAATAGTTTAACTCTCATGTGGGATTTGATAAATTTCATTAAAGACAATTAACAGAAAAACATTATACTAGGTTGTCAACTATGAAGATGTCTTCCATGATTGGCCATAGTGAAATCGATCATTATAATCAACATGCACCTCTCACTATTAATTTTTACCAAGGTTTAATTACTTGGCTCTGGTTCGGGACTCAGGTCTTTCCCAAGCACAGTAACGCAGGCGAGTCCAAGTGACGCACGAATTTACAGCCCAAAAAAGGTTTAAAAAATAAATAAGTAAAAAGCCAACCGACGTATAAACAACATCAGAGGTGAAAAAAATATAAAAAAATACACAACAGATGGAATTTGGAAGTAACTGATCTCTAGCTGGAAAAATTTAGAAAATCTACACAAGGTGAAATTAGAAAACTACAGCATATGATAAGAAAAACTCACAAGTCATCATTAAAAATGTCAAAATTATATACAAAATATGGGTGTAGTTTGTATAAGGTTGCAACCTTAGACAATTAAAGTAAGGTGCACCACCAAATTTTATTATAAGATAATTTTGGTATTGACCATTCTTAGGATGGTTTGAGAATCGATTTTCATCTCTAGTTATAAAATTTTGGACCCCAAAACTGGTTCAAATCAAATAGATCTATAAACACATGAAAATCTTGAAAATGGATGATCCAGATAATGTATGGCAGGATGCACTATTTTTAGGACTTGAAATCCTTTTTCTTTTTTCATATTCAAACATCTTGATGTCGAGATGATCGATTAGAGGGTTTTCCAACTTCAAAACAACCTTTTATGATGGATTTCTTATATGCATCTTAATTCTGCATTTTAAGGTTGCAACCTTATATAAACTTTTTCCATAAAATATTTATACACTGATTTAGTAGAAAATATAATTTTTATATTTTTTTTTATGGGTTCTTATTTAACAAAGTTTATACCTAGGTATGCGGGTCAACGAGGTGCCGAGCCAGCATTTTCCTCTTGGTTTCCATTGCTTGTCGACAAAAATATATGACTGATTATATCATAGATCATAATAATTCCCTATAAATGGGAATCATGATTTTATTTTGAGATGACAAGATACCATGTATTAGTACCGTATTTATTTGATAATTTAATGGTAAAAAGGAAAGGAACAACAATAGGAGGCCATAAGATATGACCTACCAGTGCAAAGAAAAAGAATAGCACAAAAGAATGCTGCTTGACCCATTGTCAATTCAACCAACAATTTAAATGTCCCTTCATTAGCCTACCAATGTCTGTGTGGTTGGCACACACTTAACACACTTCTGCACAAAAATCACTTGAGATGCACTAAAATTTTGTGGACATGGCACCTCTCTGGTCCAACTGAGCATGAGATGGGTATCATCAGCAAGGCAAGTCCTTGGAGACATACAAATCCTTACATGGATCCACATCTAGTTTTACACAGCAGCAATTACAAATTCGACATGTATAGAAGACACATAGCTCCACTCGTATCTCATTTAGTTGGCAACAATAATAGCATGAACAGTGTAGTGTTGTCTCCACTAACAATCAAGTTGTAAATGCCCGACATTGTTTTGAGAAGAGCTAGACACTTGTGCACGGTCCGATCCTTCTCATTTCAGCATGCAAGAAGAGAGGCGAATGCTGACGATGATACTCTTGATAATAAGGGTGTGCACAAGCTTCTTTAGCAATATAGGAGTTTTCTTTTCTCATTATTAAGATGGCACCATGGAATCCCTATGATGTATCTTTTTCATTCTTTGTATTGCTTCCTTTCTATGTCAGTAAATTTTTGTCACCAATTAAAAAGGCAAATGCCAGAAGTCCACGGTAAGATGATTTGTTTCCATATAAACAACTGCAAGGGAATTCTTGCTTCATTTTTGTCATTTCAACATCTTATGACGACAGCTTTGCTTTCCAACAGTTGTTATGACTGATTACTTCATGGATCAGCAGCAAATCCCATTCCAGATTGCTTGGGTATCCCCAAGTGCATAGCACATCAAGAGTTGAATCAGTTCAAGAATATCCACAGAACTCATTTACATCATTCTGAAGGCTTTGTTTTACTGGCTAAAACATCTGAATTTTTGCATATACTTAGCATCTGTAATGCATAAATAGCTTCCCAAACAAAAAATTAAAAATATCCAGACAACTCTGGTTTTATGTCATTCTTAGTGGAGTGTTCCATTTAAGAAGCTAACATGGATAACAGGAAACATGTATATGCCATGCAAGTCTGTACTGATCAACAAGATAACACAAAAGTAATGAGTACATTTAGAATATCACATATAGAAAAATGATATAAACACAAAAATATAAATTCCAATTAAATATAATACGATATATTTTGAATTAATAGCATGTGATATATAACATGATATATCTAAGCTATATACTTGTCGCACACACCTAAAACACACCATGAATTTAATCTTGATAATAAATATATATCCATTCGTAAACTGTATTTATGTACTAGATACAATACACTACTATATATATTGTAACATCATATGCCAGTTTGCACATTATAGATTTATGAATGTAATATGTATGTATCAACATGTTAGACAGAATAAGTGTATCTGTAACTGTGTCCAAGATTCCTGCCCCCCATATTTCTTTCTATCTGCAGCCATATCTATATCTAGGCACTTCTTTCTATTAAATTATGCCTAGGAATCTTACTTTACGACTGTGATCTGTACTACACTTTGCAATCATTGGATTACCTAGTCCAATTGTGATATAGGGTTCAAAAAGTGATATAGACTGATACTATTGTGATCTGTACTACAGTTTGCAATCATTAGATTACCCTAGCCCAATGGTGAACCTTTCCAGTTTTGCGGCATAGGGTTCAAAAAGTGATATAGACTGATACTATTGAAGTTTGAAGTGTTTTAGGGGCTGGCAGTTTTCTATATTGGTTCATGCCTGTGGAGCAGTGCAACCACTTGTCCGAAGTTCAAAAGCCATTCTAAGCATTTTTCTGAAACACAAGTCATAGTGAGCATTACGCAACTATTCTTTGACAACCACTGCAAGTAATTCAACAACTATTTGTTTTCTAAGGACATTAGTTTTTTCATATGCCTGATTGCCTTACGAGTAATTAAATTGGACTTAGTGACACATCAGAAAAATAAAACGTTTGTGCTCTAGGCACTGTTACTGGATTATTTCTCTTATTAATGCCCCATTGTAACTCCTACCATACGAAGGAGTGCGGTTCGTTCAACAAATTCCTACCTGATAGTATCAATCAATGTCAAGTACAGTACATGACATATGCACAAGAGATTTTGAAGAAAGAGCAAAGTCAAGTTCATCCATTAACCACTCTGCATATGCATCACAAATAGTAGCCCACACTGGACAACGTAACATGAGGTACTGAAGTGTACAACTGCTAGACAGTACAACATCAATAATTCTTTGTGCAGAATAAAAGTTCCACATTTTTTGAGTCCATCTACAGTGGAAATATGCATGAAACAAAGTCAAATTGTGAAGAGCTTCAAAACTCTCTTTGGCGAAGCGCCAAATATTATTCTAAGGGGACTTTCAGAATTTTCATGAGAGAAGAGATAAAAAAACAGGGAAAAAATGAGGTCTAACAAACATTAACATTTCCCAAGAAGGCCAACTACAATTAACTTCCTAAGAATGAACAGATAAACTGAAAAATGCCCATTACTTATTATGAGGTAATTGTTTTTCTCTGCTATAGGGTTATACGATAATTGTTTTCCTCTGCTCATTTATTAATGAAAAAATGGGTAGGGGGGCTTCTTCCCCACTGACTTACCCAAAAAAAAATATTAGGTTTCCTCATCAGGTTGGTTGCAAGGTTTCACTCTAATTAGATAGTGTACGTGCCCTATTTGATACACGGAAAAACATTCACTGGATACATACACATTTAAGTTCTTCAATAAACTGAAAATTAAGTGCCTGCAAATGATTTAGATGCATCACCTATTCTTTAATGAATACCATTTTGTTTCTAGGCTGCTAAAATTGGGAAGAAATCAGTTGGCTACCTCATATGTGGATGGTAAAAATGCAGGTACGAATTCCCTCACATCATCAAGTATGTATGACCCCAAAACACACTCCCCAGGAACCTAGCAAATACAAGAAGAATCATGATCAAATTCCTGAGAATCATTATGAAAACTATGCTAAAAAAAAAAAAAGGAAATTAGCACACCTCAACAACGAGACGGTGTGGGTAGCAAGGTTCATCCCAAGCGTATGGGCAAGACGAATAAGAATGCACAGTTCTCTCAAATATTTCACAATTTTGCTGGTATATGCGTAACCGCTACATTTCGAAAAGGAAAGAGAGTCAGCAAATGCTTCCCTATAATCTGAAATTAATTAAATAAATAGGAAATCTCTCCACATATAATGAATTTACAAACGAGGATGGGAGAAAGTCTCATCAAGTCTTATCAAATAGTGAATATAATTTTTTGTTTGTAACAAGTCTCATGGAAAGCACAACTCTAAATGTTTGCTTAACATGATGTGACTTCCGTATCAATTGCATCTTCAGGTAGTGAATTTACAACATGCTATATTTTTTTTTTTTGGCAGGTGCAGCTCAGTAGTGGTATTTGAACCTGGGATGTAGTGTTGTGATTGTACCAGTCAAGTGAGTACAATAAGTTGAAAGCTACTACTAGTACCTCTTTTAGTTTCTGATGAATAACATCTAGAATTCTGGAAGGTGAACTTCTGTTTAAGTTGAATATCTACAAGATCAGTCTAATCACTAGGCCAGGCAAAAACTAAATTTGAAAAAGATGAAAAAGCAAATTATGCAATGGCCAATGGGAATGATGAAGTTATAAGCACTCGCGAAACTCCGAGAGCACACGAGGTATAAGATAATAAACCTTTAATAAACCTCTGCATATTATTGACAGTGACCAAAAGATTATTTCACACAAGAGAGAAATTTAGCTGCAGAAATGGTTAGATAGTAATATACATAAACTAACTAGAGTAAGAACCATTGTTTTGAATTGTGGCTTTAGACTGGGGTTCCACTGGAGTTGCTTGGCTAGGCTACTAGCTGAGATTTTAATCAAGAGAAAAAAGTCAACCAAGTGTTACGGTTTCTCTTTCAAATATTTAAAGACAGCTAAAGTCGTTCTCAGGATTCGTTAGATGGGATTCAGACCTTCAAACCGTCCAATTTATTAAAAGAAGAGTGACCTAAAGAAGAATGTGGTCAAAGGAAGATCATCATTATATCATTCAAAGGACACTTAGGAAAATGACATCGAAAATTCAAAATAGCACCCCAGAAGAAAAGATAATCCTCCCAAGGAATGTAAGAGAAAAGGTCATATATGAAATATGGGAAATACAAACTCTCAATCGACCTTGAGTGAGCATGAGCAAATATACTGAGGTCATTAAGTAAATAGACTGATAGAGCAAAACTTGTAGTGAGGCTCATTGTAGATAATATTTCAAAAGGACTGACCCGTCACTAATGTAAATTTTCAAACAAATTAATTATGGGTGGGGTTCCCATGCAAACCCTGCTAGTATAGCCAAAAACAGAAAAAAGAAACATGCACATGTCATACACATGAATAGACACACAAATGAACACCCTACCCAGCATCTCTATTGTGGAAATCATGTATCAGTATAGAAATGAAATAGAATAGCAACTTACTGTCATAGAAAAATTGTCAATTCTGTATGGCATAAACCCAGTGTCATCATCAGATAGAAGAATCAAATATGTTCCAGAATTCCCATTGGAACTGTAGAAAAGTCTTTTATCTTGAATAGAAAAATCAGTATTCTGCACTTCAACACGGACCATGTTTAAGGCGCCAGTAACATAATTATGCATTTTGACCTGAATGTCTCCCAAACGATCAGGAAGGAAGCTCCCAGACCATTGCCATCCCGGTTCATCAAATCGCACCGAGACAAGGAGCTCCCTGCAACATCGATGAGCCAATGAATATCAAATACTTAATGAAATGCTACCTGCAAAGCTATGTATTCAAATACCTAATTTGATGAATTCATAATTAAGAATTCCAAGTAGTGAGAGAAGTAGCTGAAAGGAACTCAAGAATTTTATTATGTACCTTGAGGTATCAGTCCAGTGAAGTTGACAATGTTCTCCGACTCCCAAGCGAGAATACAAATCACTTCCCTTCTGCTTGAAACATAGATCCCTGCGGCATGCATTACTAATGACATATCTGCAAAGACAAACACAAAAATGTTATTCCACTGTTAATTACACAAACAGACAATAATCAGACAAAGTAAAAGTGCATCAATCTTGTTAGTGTAAGTAAACCATTGCAGAAGTCGGTTTATTTAGACAGCAATTTACAAATAATAAATAATGCAATTAGGGATAAATGAAAAGTCTGTCTCCTGAAATGCCAACCCTCCCACCGCCCAAAACAAAAAAAATCCATCACATAAACCAAAAAAGAAAATTTGAAAAAAGACATCAGGAATACTATTTTCAATTCTGACCCATCACCAAGCTCATTTGCAGTCAATAACGGTATATTATAGCAGGGTGCATCAATAAGAGCCAACTCTATGATTCTTATAAATTAATATCTGATAATTTTATTGGATGAGCCAAATATTGTGAGGCATGTTTCATATTTTCTTTGCATGGTTGAACCATATTCATTGCCTATAAAACCACAGCAAACACATATGCATCCTTCAATCAATAATAGGGGGCAATATATATACAGAGAGATTGATTGTGAGAATGCATTTCAGAATTTACGCAGTTTCACATAATCCGTAAAGAACTCCTAAATCACAAAGCACTAAAATTACACCAAATTACTGGTGAACTGCCATTCACTAACAATACGAATCACAAAAACAGTACATGATGGTTTTTGCAAACGAATAAGCAGAACTGTGTGGTGCTCTTTACAGAAAAATGTATATGATTACATAACTGAGAAGCAACACCATGACCTTACTGTAATATTTATACGACATACCACCCTAATTTCACTAAAGAATTCCAAGGTACTTTTATCATAACTTGGGATAAATAATCATTATTCAAGCCATATCCCAACTATTTGGGGTTGGTTATAACTTGCCATAAATGAGCTTGCTCAAATTGAACTCGTGGAAAATGCAAAACAGAAGTTCTAGAACAAAAAAATGACCACAATCTAACCGTGATGAGATGGACGTTACAGCAATGGAAGTAAATATCTCCTGGAGCAAGTACAAGTACAACATAACCAGTGTTACGTTAAAAGAGGTCCAAAACAGTATTAGACACAACTTTTGTGCCTTTAAGACTCAGTATTCAACTTTTACGACCAGATGCAACATTATCACAGTTCCAAAAAAGGACTGCCCAGAACATTGGCAGCCGCTAGACGGGTCAAGGGGGTCTGGACACCTGCCTAGGCGGCTTCCCAGCACCTAGCCCTGAGCAGGGGTCCAGGAAACTGTGCCTGTTTAGGGAACCTAGGCGCATGCCGATGCAGCTGCCCAACTCCTAGGCCTGGGCGGGTTCCCAGGGAATTGTGCCCGCCCAAGGGCAAAAATGTCCCTCTTGGAGGGGCACTTTCATAATTTTCCCCCCTAAATAAGGGGGAAAAAGTGGATTAGGTTTTCATGTGCCCTAAAGCCCTTGTTTTACATTCTAGAGTGAAAAAGAAAAAAAAAGTGCAGTTTTCCTTCTATTGTTAATTTGTAATCATAATGCAAAAACCTGAGCCGCCAGAAACCTCGGCTGCCGTACAAGCACTAAGAACCAAGGGCCCCAGCCACCTAGGTGCCATCAGGCATTTTTTGGAATATTGATTATTATATTTCCTTTTAAGTATATGTATAGCCATTTCTGATTTTACATTTATTCTTAACGTATCCAATGTGGATACAACTGAAGCAAGTGATTTTGGTTGCCCCAACGTCTGGAGGGGTTGGCTTCTCGGTCTTGGCTCATATTTTCTACTACAACCCCATTTTGGAAATGACAACATGAGCTCTATAATGGTGACATGTGCTTCTCTGTTTTGCTAGGAAAGTTCAACCCAAAAATTTCTCTAAAGGCCCGAATGTCAAGCCCGAAGTTTATAGCACATATTTAGGGATAGTTTGGCATACTCTGCGTCAAGGATTCTATGGTCTTTTAGATTTCTCTGTTTTATGCCTATGACCTAGATTTAATGTTGTAATTGACAATCTGGATTACATTAAGGTCAGCACGTGGTCTATAAATAGTTTAATATACAAGGGAGGTGACATTATTTAGGATTTCTTCTTAGATGTCCTGGTTTATCTAGAGATAAATATGGAGCATGGTTTGTAGGCTTCCACTTCTATTTCAATCGACACAACATGTTGCTTCTTCTCTTTGTGATTTCATTTTACATCATATGGTCTCAGAGCCGGACTATTCCCAAAGCACCTCTGGTGCTGCAACTGTGTAGCCACTAGGGGAGCCCTAGGCTGCCGTGGTCATGGTGGTGGTTTCGGACTTATACTGGAGGATTTCGATGACATTTTGAGGCTATTCAAGGAGCTGGCACATGAGGTACACTAAACGCATTCCGAGCAGAACTTGGTCATTCATGAGAATGACGGCTCTAAATCCACAAAGGAAAAACCTTTCCATAACGATGAAGCTCACTTCCTAATCAGCAAAGGGATCCGAATCTCTATCTTGAGGAATGCTTGGTGGGAGCTTTGGAAGGGGAGGATAGAGGCATTCTAGTCAACATGCCTGAGGTTTCTACCCGGGTACAACCAAATGACTTGACTTAGATTGGATTGCCTGCTTCACAAAGTCTTTTGAGTGGAAGGAGCTATCTGAACAAAAGAAGGTAATGTTTGTGGCTACCCAATTGAAAGGTCATGCCCTAATTTTGGCGGCAGCAATTGCAAACAAGTTGTTTGAGGAAAGGAATGGGGAAAATCAAAACTGGGAGGACGATAAAAGGATGTTTGAAGGAAAAGTTCATCCTAATTGAGTTTGCCCAAGTTTTAAACCAAAGATTTCATCAATTGCTCAAGGAGAAGAGCGTGCAAGAATACACAAAGGAGTTTTACCTATTGATGAGTCAAAAACGAAATCCATAAAAATGACGTTCAGCTCATAGCCCCTACATAATTGGGTTGAAACTTGACACTACACCGAATAACCAGCCTTAATGAATCCTGTTGATTTGTTCAAAAAGTTGGCAAACTTGAAGAGATGTATTTTTTATACATATATCTAATCAAGGCCATCCTAGGCCACTAAAGGACGTAATACCAATCCAAGAAAGCAAGAGTAATTGACCCGAACTTTTTACCATGAGATAGGGGTCAAATAGCTAATGGGTCGTCTGGATCCTAGGGTATCGAAAAATCATATTTTGTGAACCCAAGTTATTTTTCCAAAAAACATGTTTGCAACTTTTTGGACCCATAATCACGTTCTCTGTAAGAAGGGAAGAGGGAAAAAACTAATAATACAATAAAACTGATAATAATACAACAATATTATCCAAAACACGACTTTGTAAGCATGAGAGAGAATACACTATAATTAAACTGATAATAACACAATAATATTATTAATATTAAAATAACTTAAAATGATATATAAATAACAAATAATACTATTATTATAATATAATGATATTTGTAATACAATATTATTATAAAATGAAAGTGTCATAATAATATAATAGCATGTATAATAGTATTATATTTTTATAAATAACATTATTAATAATAATATTATTATTATTACTGTAATTTTTATTATTAGTCATCATTTTCATCATAGCCTTTTCCCAATTAATTGGGGTCGGCTACACGAATCGTGGTCGCCATTCTGCTCTATTAAAGTCCATACCATCAGTGAGGCCGTAAGTCCCCATATCTTTTCGAATTACTTCCAACCACATCCTTTTAGGCCTACCCCTTGCCATTTTTAGTCCTTCCACTTGAACTAACTCGCACCTCCTAACAGGTGTTGTACTTGGTCAGTGCCACACATGGCCCACCCACCTAAGTTTGCACTCTCTCACATATCTCCTATTGGTGCCACACCTAAACTCTCTCGAATGTGCGCATTTCAAATTCTATCCCGTCTTTTCACTCATCAATCTCAACATCTCCGCTACGTTCAAGTATTTTTTTTTGTCCGCCCAACATTATGAACCATAAAGCGAAACTGGTCTCACAGCTATCTTATAGACATGCGGCGATCACATAAAATTCCAATTGCACATCTCCACTTCGCCCACCTAGCACTAATTCTGTGTTCGACATCTTCCTCAATCTCTCCATTTTCTTGGATCATCGACCAAAGATATCAAAAGTACGGTCTTTTTTGTACTTTTTGGCCAGCAATCTTAACTACTTCCTCTTCTCTAGTATTGGGGTTTTGTGGCCATTTAAAGGCCTTACAATAGCATATACTGAAAAACATATAGTGAAATGTTGGCTTCAGTGAGAGTGTGGTCCACATTGGATTGTAAGCCATTTCTAATGCTTAGAAACACCTGAGCTTTGATTGGCTATGGTTCAATGTCTTGTCCCAAAACCCGTAGTCATGGGCATGTGTGAACACAACCGATAAGGGTTTTGACGTGGGATTATCCCTTCATGATGTCGGAGTTGTGGCTAGGACAGTTGACCAGAGGACATGGACTTGACCTTGGTGTGTGATGGATGGCCTGAGAGAACAAGGGTTTAAATCCTCATTATTACCATCACACGGCATGTACATTAGATAGTTGTCTGAGAAGCGGCCCTTTATGGATAAGGCTGTGTGACGTGTATAATACTGGACTGTGTTGGAAGGACCCATGGAGCATACTGCTTAAATGGGGCTTGGACTTGTCTTCAGGAAGGGACCTGTAATCCATGGTCTAGAATCGTATCTCCTGCACTTCCGACTTTGATAGTCCAATCATGAATCCTTGTAAGAGGCTGTGGGTCATGGGACAGCAACATTATTCTTCTCTAGCAAGGTGGGAAGGGTTGGAACCGCAACAGTGCTTTCCTTCCCCTTCCTTTTGTAAACTAACTGTTGTCTCCCTTTGACAACCTTCCAGCCTTCTTCCCCAGAGGGTAATTTAACAGAAGTAACACCGTTGAGAATAATTGTTGCACTGACCTCAATGGAAACCTTTGCACTTAAGCCTGCTCGACATAATTTGGGCTTGTGGCCCACCCTCCGACACTTGGAACAGATCGAGGGTAT